TTGATGATTTTGGCATTAAAACTAGACCTTTGGGTAACGTTGTTTATATAATGACCTCATTAATATCCGACGAAAAACCCATTAGAAATATTGAAATGCAAATAATAAAGTGTTTAAGGGTAATTCTAACCTGGAGAGACTTTTATGAAATTTATTGAAATTCGATGTGTAATGTAATGCTGGCCAGAATTATCCCCAAAAAAGATAATATTTTGGTTTCCCAAAATCTCAAAAAGAAAATTTTCCTTATAAATCGCGGTACTTTAATATATTTGTTTTGCACCTATGGGGAAATATTCCGGGCTCGTCATAGTGTCGAACTTTCACTTTTTGATCAAGTGGCAGGTGACGAAATTTAGACGGACAAAAGAATTTTCGAAAGTCCCGTGAATTTGTCGTTTCTACCCAATGATAATTTTAAAAAATTGCTATTTTTTTTTTTTTTATTTTTTTTTTTATTTTTCTTTGGTTTGAATAATTGGCCGTTTAACAATTAATTCGAGCAAAACAAAAGATCATTCCGCCTATGTCGGAATCGTGAAGAAATGTTATTGACACGACGCGTTAGAGCCCATTTACTCGATAACATTAGCAAATAAAACACACGAATATAAGAAACCACATTTAAAGGTCAATGGATGAACGGATAAAAAGAAAAAGTTTAAATAAAATGTGATCCAAGTTGTTTTATTAATTATTTAATTATTTTAATGTAAATAATTTTTTAACGAAAATGATTAACAGCGGTAATATAATTATTTCTTTTGTTTTTCTTTTTTCTTTTTGTTTGTAAAAAAAAAACAAAGGATAAAATTTTCTTTTTATTCTTTTATAAAAATGGATGATAAAGTGCAGTAATAAAATATTATTAAGATCCAAACCATAAAAAAAAAAGAAATACTATATATATATATATATCTACTATATCTAGAGGGTACGTGAAAGTGAAGATAACCTTTTATAAAAATAATTTACATTTACATAAAGTAATACTACAAAAAAATAATATTAAAAAAAGTCCGGGCTTTACTCAATTAAGTCACGTGAAATATTAGAGGTGACGGATATTTTTTGGACCTTTTTTTTTTTTCTCTAATTTACTCGACAATTATTTTCGTATTCTCTTCTCTTTACAACCTTAAATCTAACGCAGTCATCTTGCGAGCCTTTAGAATTTTATTTTAATAAAAAGAAAAAAAGAATAAAATGAACGATTAATTTTTTTTTCAAAACCAAGGTTAAATTGAAATCAAAAGAAAGATCGATAATTACCTCGTTGAGCAACAGGCATCAAGACACATTGATGAGCGAATGAAGAAACCATGGTGCAAGCACGGTAATTTCCAGCTGGTAAACCTTTTTCGACTAATACTGATAAGATTCCGTTAACTGCTACGTCGTTCAAACCTTTGAAGAAAGCGAAAATTCTTGGATCAGGAATATCGTTGCCGTTAAGTTTTTGAACAGTTATGTGAGAATGTCCTTGAATAATTCCCGAGTCGTCATTAAGGGTTTGTGGGAAGATATAATATTCATTTACGGGATCGTCAAAGAATCCGGTGAGCAAATTGATCGTTTCGGTTTGCAACGTGAATGCTTCGTTTTCGCAGATAACATCGTTATTCACCGGGAAGCGGATTAAGGTTGAAATCATGTGGTCAACATCTGGAATTTCTCCCAAAACTGTTTGGACACATGAACCGTTACGGTTTTGAGTTCCATCTGCCGGTGGTTTTTTGGATAGTTGGCAGACCTGATCACTGGGGGTCCTTTCATTTACAGCAAATACCGACACTGCGATATAAGCGGCCAAAACTGCCAAGATGATGAGTGACTTGTTTAAGGTAGACATCATTAATTTAATTAATAGTTTGTTTTTATTTTTATCGTGAAAAAAGAAAAACCGAAACTTTATATACTGAAAGAATTATAATTTTTTTTTTTTTGAAGGATTCAATATAACCAATTAAGCAAAAGCAAAGGGTAATGCAAAAAAAAAATTCGAAAAAAATTTTTTTTTTTTTTTTTGTGGACGTGAAATTATATTTTTTTTTTTAATAAAAAAGTCGTAAAGAAATTAATATGATATGAGAGGAAAAAAAAAAATGAAAGGCACGTCGAGAACCCGCATATTTATATATCTCGAATGAACCGAAAAAAAAAAAAAAAAAATCATCATGATTGAACTCATTATTTTCAAATAATTTAATCTCTGAATATAGAAAAGGTCTAATCATATATGGAAATTTCCTCTATGTAAATGTATTTTTTTTTTAAAATATTTTTATTTTTGTGTGTGGGAAGAGTTATTCTAAAAACACGGAAGACATTTTTTTTATGTGAGGCGCTAAATAGGGTTTGATTCAATTTTAAATTTTTAATTTATATTGTTGTAGTTTATATATAATATATAATATTATTATGTTTTGTGAAGCATGAGATATAGTGGCATAAAAGGAATGAAAAAATCTTTCCGGGTATTAAAACAATATAAATGAAAATTTTAATTTAGACGCCAAAGTAAACAACAAAGCAGGGATAAAGCAATACAAAGATCTGAAATAAATTGATATTCGGAACTTTTCATTCCAACGAACTGCGGATCAAACCAGGATCAAAAAGGAGGCGGTGCACCCATTGCCGATGTCGATGTTTACTCCAAACGGGAAGTTATACAATAAGCCAAAAACTTGTTTCATTAGGGGGGGGAAATGAAATTTCCCAATTGCTGATGGGGTCTTTTGATCAGGTGATCTTGATTAAAAATAGATCCTTTCATGGTTCGGAGACCCCGAGAGTAATCCGCGATGGTGGTTTTTTTTTTTTTTTCAATTCTTCGATGCTTTGTTTATTTTGTCAAACCGACAACCATGATTGCTTTGATAAGTAACAATTTTACCGGAAACGTAAATCCCGTAAACTTTCATTAGAGCCACCACATTTAATTAATGATTGTTCTTTGAAAGGGGGGGGGGGGAAGGGTTAGTTTTTTGATCCGCGTAACTGGTAATCGGTAAGGCATGCCATGATTTTTTTTTTCTTCTTCTTCTTTGCTCGATTGCTTTGCCCTTGCTTTGCCTATGCTTCCCTTCATCTTTCCGCCTTCACCACCGCAATTATAAAGAAAGCGAGGAAATGAATAAATTGTACGAGTTAAAAAAATCCCTCAAATCCCATCGTCCAATAGAAAAAAGAGAGCGAGATCAATTTAAATTAAATAAACAAATCTGCCTGTCACAACATCTTTAATTATAGATATTATCATTCACCATTATTTTACAAAAATAAAAAAAAAAAATATCAATCAATAAGAATTAACCTGTGAAAAAATTCATGGTTTCACACGCAAAGCCAGGGCGTTAACACAGCATTTATTTAAAAATTCTTTTTTGATGTTGAAATGAGCACACGAGAAAATTAAGGTAGCTCAAATCCTGTGCATTCTCTGCTCCGAAAGAAAGCAGTGATTTTGTCATGATACATGCGTATTACATATTACATACACCAAAAATAAATCCTGCCACTTTTAAAATACCATCATTAGATTTTTAAAAAAGGTGACCTATGAATAGATGTCAAAATGTCATCTTATTGACGTAATTATATTTTGGTCTTATTGTTCAGAAGAAAAAGGAAAGAAAATTAAAAGGCGAGGTTTAAAAATATAACATAATATAATGATAATGATAATAATTTTTATTATTATTAAATAATAGAAATTAAATTTTTTCCTTGATGTAAGAAATAAGTTAGGAACGGGGTTTATGGAAATTCCTTTTTGACGTAACAAAAAAATGGAAAACTAATAAGTTTTTTTTTTTTTCATAAAAATAAACCGGCATACATGTATGCAAGGTTCACGGATCTGCATCCCATTATAGTTAGGGATATATATGGTGTTTCATTCAAATTTCGTAATTTTTAATAATTTTTATTTTTTTTTTTTTTTTTTTTTTTTTTTTTTTTTTTAGTGCGTTATTTAAATTATTACCAAGATCATTTCAGGTTTGTGATCCGGTGGTTGAATAATGAGAAATGCCATTTTCCCGGCATCGAAATTGCGGAGTCATTTATTAATGTGGCAACGTCAACAAACAAGAGCATAGCAAAATGTCACTTTTGGCGGAGGGCTTGTCAAAATTTGTTTTTTTCCTTTTTGACCTTCCAGAAAGAATTGGATTAAACTTCATTTTACCAAAATCAGCCATGGGGGTAAGAAAGCCACGAGCTTGTTGATCACGTGTTTCACTTCAAAACCCTCAAATTCTCCCATTCGCCTAATTGACTCATGTACCCTAAAAAAAAGAACTTGCGAAACTGTGTCACCATGTCCGAACAGGGTTACTTTGAGTTTTAAGCTTCTACCCAGAATTGGTCTCACAAAGACAACAGGGTAACATAGATGATAATGGTGCACCAAGATAACTAACATTCAACCCTTGAATTACGAAATACAAACAAATGAAAAGTTGCATGTTATTTACGAGTCGAAAGAAGCACCGTTTAAAATTGCATATGTGACATGTTACGAGCTTTACCTTGTAACTAGGGAGAGCGAAAGCAAGAGGCATCGCTTGTGCGTGTATTTTTTTTTTTTTTTTTTTGTTTCGAAAACGATGGTTCACGAACTTCCAAATAAACATATGCGTAATTTTTAATCACAGAGAGCCAAGAATTTTTAAAAAAAAAAAAATAAATAACTGAAATTATTTTTTTAGAACCATTCGATTCTTTTTTTAAAAACATAATGGTTTCCAACAATAGCCCCAGTGTTTACCTTTTATGTAGATCAAAACCTTTTTTTTTAAAAATAAAAATAAAAAGATAAAAAAGGTGACAAATAAATAATTCGTGCTATATTTCATGCATTATAATTTTTCGAACTTTCTAGGAAATCTTGATGGGACGCACCCTTCACGTTTTTTCTATGATCCCCAATTATTTTTGTAATCCAAATTTCGTTAATATTGTTTACTTTTTGATTGTTAAATTATTTCCTTGACATATTACAAAAAAATCATCATCGGGTGTTACAAGAATCCTTTGACTTTTTCATTGTATACCTTTTATATTTAAATAAAACGAACTTAACACTTAAAAAGAATAAGTTTTAAATTTAAAAAATCTAAATAGGATAATTGCTAAGAATCGGACTTTACTCGTTTTGTTAACAACCAATTTCTTTTTGAAACAAGTATATGGATGCGCGTAATTATCAAAACGCATAAACAATACACGAGAAAAATTTATATCCCCCTTTTTCATACAAAGACCAAAGCAAATAAAAACCTATACACGTTGAGATTTCATCGTTTGAAACTATTTACCACAAGGAAAAAAAAAAAAAAAAATCAATAATCAAAACAAAAAACAGGGGTTGAAACTTAATAGAATATCAAAGAGATATAAACAAAAAAAATTCTATTCGAAAATGATTTTTGACATTAAAGGGAATAAATTAATTAGCTACATGATCAAGATTGCATTTTTTGCATGTTGAATTTATATTGGTTATTTGCTTTGAATCTCAGATTCCCAAAGCAAATAGTTCGTCTTTATTCAAACTTTTGTAATCAAAAAGTGAAACGTAATGTGGTCGATGAAACAAGAGTATTACTTAGATAGGATAAACATTACTTATAAAGGAAGAAAGATCTGCAGCGCAAAACCTTTACAAAATCCCCCTTGAAACATTTTTTTAAATTCTTTCGCTCTCATTTACCGTTTAGTGGAAAGTCTCCGGTAGTTTGAACATTATTTTAACTAAATCGAGAGACGGAAAGCAAAGTTTTTTATTTGTTCAATAGCAACGAACTTTGAAAAGTTGATAACGTGAAACTTTATGAGATTTCCAATGGAAGTAACTTAATAACACTGAAAGTACTACGTATTTGTTTGAGGATTGATTTATAACGGGAGATAAAACCTTAATTGATTGCATCTACTGCGCAATCAACGAAAAGACAAACGACGAATTAAAGTTATATGTACACATGATGCACGGGAACCTTCATTATAGTCACATCCCATTGTTGAAACATTTTTTTTTTTTAATAAAAATTGAAAATCGATAATTTCATGGATGATTTCGGAGGACAGCCCCTTAAAGGAAAATCTCTGTAACAATCTTTTTTCATCAATTCATCAAGGTTCTCAAGAACATAAAAAAAAAAAAAAAAAAAGGCTATAAATAAAACCGAACGTTATACGTCATAAATAATACATCACGCGTAAAGTACCGCAGAAATATATCGTGTTATTTTTTATAGTTCAGAACGAATTCGTATTTCTAAATTTAGGTTTTTTTTTTTTTTACATCACTCAAGCGTTGTTTATTTGGCGTACATTCGCTATAAAAAAAAAAGACCGGTTCGCGGACAAATAATTAATTTCATATAAGGCATCGCTGACACTCACACAAGAATTAAATTACACCAAAAGTAAACAATCTATTCCCTTATCTAGAAAATTTTAGAAATAGATTATGCAATAACATAAGGAAATTAGAACCAAAAAGAACAATTATCCTTATTTTGTGTTCCCTTCTTTTTGTGATCGAAATGAGAAAGAATTTTCTTTTTTCAATTTATTTTTGTATGAAATCCCTTAAAAGTTTTTACAATGATTTTATCCAAGCTTGGTTCAATGAAAAGTATAAAAAAAGGTTATTCATTATCGTTCCTGAAATGTTCGCTGATCATATGACAATTTTCTTTCATTTCAAAAAACCTCCTTGGATGTTTAAAGTTAAAGTTGATTTTTAAAATAGAAAAACTGATTATGATGCATTACGATGTAAGATGATCATTAATTCAATTCTATTTCTTTTAATAAGTTCTGCAAGAATTTAAGAATAAACTTTTTTTTAACAAATTATTTAATCCGTGTGGTGGGATCGTGGGATTTCCATGACAATGAGCTTCCTTCAGTAATTTTAAGTAATTGGAACATCATTCAACTTAAATGAATTGGGATTTGACTTTTTTTTAGAAAAAAAAAAAATAAATAAATAAATAAAAAAGTAAAGATAAAAAAAAAAAAAACTACATAATAATTATATTAATTCACACGTGACGCAACTACCACGTTCATAATCCCACCCAGTATTACGACATCTATCTAACGCCGATGATTCTCCAACGTTTGTAGATACTCTGCATCCACCACAAATTCTCCAAGAAATCTTTCTATAGCGTCAATTCTTTCCAAGATTTCAATTTGAACTTCATCATGATTCATCGTTGTTATTGAATTTGATACACCTATTTCTTCATCAACTTTGTTATTATTGTCTTCTGGTTTATCGGTTTCTGATTTAATAAACGGTAGTCTTGGATAACGACGATTCATATGTTTCTTGACGCCTTTTTTGATACCAAAACATTTCATCCTTTGAATAACCCCCCATGAACGAATTGCACTTGGTCCAACACCTAAAAAATTAAAATTTAATTTTTTTTTTTTAATAGAAATTAATTCATGTATGATATTTATTTAATTACCGAATAAGAAGACATAAATGAGTGATAATGTTCCCGCTACACCGGCAATTTGACCAAATGTATCAAATAACTAAATATAATATTATTTATTAATTTTTATCCAAATTTTATAATAACGATTTTCAATATTATTTACCGTTCTCTCACTAAAAAATAAAATAAATTAAATTAAAAAAGAAAACCTTTCAAAAAAAAAAAAAATGTATCACTAACATTTGTTCTTGTTCAAATGGAACTCTCCAAGTTCTCATAACAACCGCTAATGTAGCATAAGAAAGACCTAAAGACTCATCAAATGGAGAGTATGGTCGACTTTCTAATATGGAGTTTAAATACGTCTCATCTACATATCTTGATGGAATTCCTAAAATGTCCCACCATTTTTTCACTATTACGTTCTTACGAATTCTTGATAATTCCAACTCATAATACTAATTAATATATTGATTCCAGGAGAGAGAAATTACATTTAATTAAAGTATTAGGGAAACTAATGTCTGATTTACTTACCTGTTGAGAAGTCAGAAAATATAAATTCAAGTCAATTAAAGATAGAAGTTGATCAATAACGTTAGTATTGGTCTCTTCGTAATCTTTAATTAACAGCGGATCTTGTACTTCTACACGAGCCGACGATTAGTTTATAAAAAAAAAAAAGGAATAGTTAATATTTTTTTTTTAAAAAAATAAAAATAATAAAAACAATTTATTATAATATAATTTTTTTTTTTTAATATATTTACGAGAATCAAAAGCTCGCATTTCAACACCTAAACTAGACACGGGTATCTCTTCTGGATTATCCATTATAATTGTAACTTCAAACTTTTCAATATCCTTTTTTGTAAAATTTAACCCATTTGCATTAAATAACGCTTCATAAACACCGTTGGAGTTTACTGTTGACTCCGGTTGTCGTAAATGTGTCGCGCATTCTTTTGTTGAAAATTGGGTTATAGCTTTGAAAAGGAGGGGAAAAACATATTAATTGAGAGAATTTCACGCCAAATTTGGACATGAAATTACATAATACATACAACCAACTATTTGACATGTCAATGTAAACCGATATTCAAATGTAAAATGTAAAGCTATTTAGAAAGGGAAAAAGTTTGGTTAACAAGTATATCAAATAAAGAGCTTCTTTATATCCTGTGACGTACTTGGCAACGGAATTGATTTTTCTTCATAATGAGCTGGTGTAGATGCAGTTACGGGATTGTCTGATTTAACATTATCTATTAAATTTAAAAATTTTTTGAAATTCTATCGCTTTAATTCATCATAATTCCTAATTTTAGGCAAACACGTACTAATTTGAATAGATGCATAACAAATTAATAAACTAAATAACAAAATCGCAATAATGGTTCGTATTATAATTAACGATTTGGGTTCAGTCTTTAATTGAACCGTAAATATTTCGAGAATTTGTTTAGGTATCATAATTTAATGTTGGTACCTTTAATTTTAAGTATTTGTAAAAAAAACAATCCATTTATAATTCATTGATTATATTAAATATACCGCTTTTGTTGATAATGCACTATTGTACGTCATACATTGCCGTTACAAAATAGGTAATAAATTTGTTGGCCAGATATAGCTTTTCCTTCTTGATCAACCTCTCAAAAGAGATGAAATTTATTACGAGAGAAAAAAATCTAAAAAAGTTGGATTGTTCCTATTGTAAATTTTTGTAAAGTTATCGTGTGTGTAACTTCACTTTACAAAAAAAAAAATATCTTACCAAATAATAATCAAGTTAAAGATGGCAAAATTTTTTAATGGTATAAGTACAAAATGAAGATCCCCCGAATAACTTTTTTTCCTTTTTTTTTGGTTTAAAAAAAAACCCTTACAAAGAAACAACACAATAAAAATATAGTACTTGTTCGCTACTAATTTAATACCTTGCACGACGAGGACGTTAGTACAAATCGCAACCAAAAAAATGGAGGCCACCCTAACCGAGCAAACACAAGCATGACTGAATTTCTTTATGATTGGCCACTATTTTGATAAACAACACTAACTGTGATTGGTTAGAATTTTTCAC